ACACACACACACACACACACACACACACACACACACACACACACACATATACATACATATATATTCTTCAAGGATTTCACAGACCAATAGAAGAAATCTCAGTAAGGATAGCTTTTAAATGCAGTATTACATGATTCCTGCCTTATACGGGGTACTAAACAAAATAGTTTCTGTATATCAAGGGGTAAAGTCTTTGGAGATAGGAGCAAAATTGAAGACATAATAGGAGAGGAGAATTGAGTTGGGTTTTAAAGCATGCATAAGAATTCAACAGGCAAAAAGGAAGACATTCCAAACATGGGGCACAGCGTGAGAGCCAAGGTGCCGAAGCACGAGAGCTCAGTTTGTCTCTGGGAGTTGTCCACTTTGGCTGGAGCACAGAATTCTCCCAGGGGAGAAATATGAGATAAGAAAAGAAAGAGGATGGTTTGAGGTTGGGGAAGGTCTTGAATATCAAGCAGAAGATCTTGACCTTTATCACCAGGTAAAATGAGCCTAGTTTCCTAGGCTTATTCTCCTACCCACCCCTAAGACCATTGACTGGGAGGAGCCAATGAAGGCCTGAATCCTTATGGTGACAACAGTCTTCCAGTCTTAAGTCCCAGAGCTGTGACTGTCTATGGTTCTTTAGCTTTCTCCTGAACCTTCCTTGATGTCTGTCCCCTGCTCAAGCTCCCATGTTTTCCTCAAATCCGGTAATTCATCATAAATCTAAGGGCCACCAATGGCACGGGCAGAGGGAGGGGGGAACCAGGGTGAGGGGGAAGGGCGGGTGCTGGATGGGGGGCGGCCCTGGGCAGGAGCAGCAGCGGTGGCGGCGGCTGCGATGGCAGCAGAGGCGGCGGCTCCGGCTCTGCAGTAAACAAGGCGCGGGGATGCTGCCGTGCCGCCGCTGCAGGTGTCTCTAGGCATTGTGGGAGCGCCGCTTCCTCTCTCCCCTCCGTTCCCCCGGCCCTAGAGCCCGCACCTGCTGCAACCAGACCCCGCCGTGTCCCTGCCCCGGCTCCTCCAGGAGCCAGAGGTGGCTGGCGGGGCCCCGGACTCCCCTCCTCCGTCCCCCGCCACCTCTCTGCCGAGGGGCCGCGTGCGCCCTGGCTCTTCTGGGCTCGCCTGGGGCCCAGATGTGGTCACAGGGCTTCAGGGAAGGGAGGGGCTGGAGCCGGCCCCGACGGACATCTGGGGCAGAGGGAGGGAGAATCGCGGGGCCAGGACTCGCAGGGCCCTGACATCCAGTCCCGCACAGCTCCGTGCGCCCCCGCAGGCGCTGTGCCCTGGGGATACTGGAAAACAGGAAGGGGACTGCTGGGGTGGTCTTGCCTCTCTGTACCTCCAGTTACCGGTCCCCATCCCCATCCCCGTCCCCGTCCCCATCCTCATCCCCGTCCGCATCCCCGTCCACGTCCCCATCCCCATCCTCATCCCCATCCCCATCCTCATCCCCATCCCCATCCCCATCCACATCCTTATTGATCCTTGCCCCTGTTTTCATCCTGAAGCCACGCACCCCCCCTCCCCCGCCCTGGCTGCGCAGCCCCCGGCACCGCTTACCTGGCGTCTGGGGCTGGCGAGGTAGCCACTGGGTTTGCGGCAGGTCCAGTGAAGGGGCCCACGGTTGCGGCGGGGGCCCGGGCCGGAGCCGGGCCGGGGCTGGGGCCGGGGCTCAGGATGCTCTGGCTCCGGCTCCGCTCCGCCGGCTTCTCGGGGCCCCGCCTTCGCCCCCGCCCCCCTTCGCCTCCCCCTTCTCCTCCTCCTGCCTCAGCCGCCACTGCCTCTGTATGTGTCACACAAAGAGCAGGAAATGGCCCCAGCGACAGGGTTCTTCCCCAAGTGGCCGCGATCCTCTCACCTGGACCGGCCCGGAAGGGCGGAACGACTCTAAATCGCTCCCACCGTCCGGCCAAGGCTCTGCCCCCATCCCCAGGCCGGGTCCTGGGGCCTGACAGAGCAGGAGGCGGGGTCTGGGACGGGAATTGTGCACTGAAATCTCTCCTAGGGAAGGGACCGCGCAGCTCCGGAGCAAAGGGAGGGAGGGGAAGGAGAGGAGTGAGAACAACATCTGAGAAGGTTCAATTCTACGTACCTCAAAAGCCCATTTTGGCTGAACCCAGGCCCAAGTGCTCCATCTTTTGAGCAGAACTGCACCTGCGTATCAAACACATCAGGTTCGTCTTAGGAGACTGGCAGCTTTTACGAGGTTGTTGCGTACCCCACCCTCCCTTCATGCACATATACTGGTCTATATACACAGAATTCTTACTACTTTAGTGATTCTGATTCTGGCATTCAAGGCCTTCCACAACCCAACTCTAATCCACCTTTCGAGCCTGATCTCATACTATTTTCTGTTCCAGTATTTTACATGGCCCTTTTAGTGAGTAATCGCTATCATCCCTATTTTCTTCCCTCCTTTTCCCATCTTACATCACCCCCCTCTCAGATCATCCCCCAATGCCTGGAACGGACACAGTGCAGTAGAAAAAGCACTGAGTCCGGAGTCAGAGGACCTGGGATCAAGTCCTACTTCATATGCTTGACTGTCATCTAATCTTCTTGGACCTCAGTTTCCTTTTCTGTAAAATTACTAGAAGGCTTCTGAGGGTCCTTAGGGCTCTAGTCCTGTGATCTTTTCCTATCTCCCTGTGATGAAGTCCCTTCCTTCCAGGCTTAAGTCATGTACTACCTTATCCTTCCTTGGTCATTCATTCAACCATTTAACCATAAACGCTATCTAATCCATATCTCTTCACCTTGTCCACAAGGGAGGCACGACAGACTGTCAAACCCTTTGTTGAAATGGAGGTATACTATGTATTTCCAACGCCTAGCATAGGACCTCATCTGATACGTAGATGTTTAACGAAGGTTTATTGAGTTGGGGGAATGATCGCAGTACCTGGTTTGAGAGTCATAGTTTCTTCTCCATTGAGTCATAAGCCAACCCTGGGGCATAAATCATAGGATTATACACTTACAGCCGGAAGGGAGCTCCGAGGCCATCCAGTCCAACTGCCTGGTTTTACAGTGGTGGAAACTGAAGTCCCTAGAAGTTAAATGACTTGCCCAAGACCACTCAGAGAGTAGAGGCAGGATTCGAATCCAGGTCATCTGACTCCAAATTCAGTACTCTATCCATTGCACCATGCTGCCAATACTTTAACTGTTCTGATCCCTAAACACTCTTCCTGGGGGAGGAGGAAACAAGGAGATAGGGTAGAAAATGCTCAGGAGTTAGGAGCTCTAATTTACCTTTCCAGCCTTTACTCACACCAGTCTACTCCTTTGGCTTCTTTGGTCTTCAGTTTTCTCCTCTCTAAAAGGAAAAGTTTAGACTAGGTTATTTTGAAGGTTTCCTCCAGCTCTAATGTTCTGAGGGTATGAATACTTCAGTGCCCTCAAAGGCATCCTGAGACAAGGTACTCTCTTTCCCAAACATTTCTTTTTTAAATAAAATAAATTTTATTGATTTCTTTTGTTTTCACATCATCTATATTTTCCAGTATATCACTCTTCTTTTCTGCCTCCCAGAGAACCATCCCCTATAACAAAGAATAAAAAAGAGGGGGAAATTTTGCCCAATGTATTAGAAAAACCCTGACATTATTTTCAGTTCTGAAACTTTAGTCCCTTGCCCCTATAAAGAAAAGTGTGTGTGTGTGTGTGTGTGTGTGTGTGTGTGTGTAGGAATTTAAATATTTCTTGAAAAAGCTGAGAAGGTCCCATAAATAGCCATTCAAAGTATAATACACTATTTTCTATATGGTACATTTTTTTTCAGTCTATAAAAAAAAACCACCCAAAACCCAGCTTCCCTTGCCAATGGAAACTGCACATTATTAAAGAAAACTTAAGGAACTGAATATGTGTGGTTATAGCAGTTCAATAGCCAACTGTAGACTTCTGTAGACTCCACTTTGCCCATCATCTTTTGTGACTTAGGGCTATCTGATGCCACCTACTAGCCAGGTTCTCTGCTGCCTCCTCCCTCCTCCCCTCCACCACCCTCCTGTCCCCACCCAAGCCAGAAGGAGGTTAAGGCTTTGCACAAAATGGGGGTGAGTGTGGGAGTATTTTTATTTATAGTCTAGTGTGTGAATCTATGTGTGTATTCCAAAACCAAGTGTCAGTGGTTCTTAGAATTTCCCTGACTCTATTCTGCAGTGCCCTTACTTAATTTCTCATCACCGTGTTTTATAATTACTGATTGACTGATGAGTAGCTTTCAAACTTTTTGGTCACACAACATTTTATCAAGTAAGTATTACTACCTTATTGACATTTGTAACCACAGAAATACAGATTCTCCTGGGGCTCAGGTAGTTACTATAAATAGCACCCAGTTTCCTGAGGGTCATAGGATCATAGATTTAATGTTTTATTGATGCCACCATAATTTTTAGAAATACTAACCCCATTACCCAATATAGTGAGCAAGTCTGATGAGGCATATACCATTCCCCACCCCACCTCCAAAGAGAGAGATATGCTTTATTGTCTTCTCTGGTGTCATCACTGGTCTTTCAGTTTCAGAGTCTGGCTCCTTCTAGTGATCTCATTTTCTTTGTTGTAATCATTGTGTTTATTGTTATTTTGGTTCCCCTTAATTCATTCTGTATCACTTCAAACACATCTTCCCATGTTTCTGTGAATCAGTCATTTCTTATCGCACAATAATATTCTTTCATATTTTTATATCGCAATGGGCTTTTTGGCTATTCCCCCCAATTGACAGGCATACCCTTTGCTTCTCATTCTACTACCACAAAGACTGTTACCATGCTTATTTTAATATATTGGCCTTTTGTTTCTATCTTTGGACCCTCATTTTATGAATAAAGAAACTAAAATGCAGAGAGATCATAGGATCAGAAGTCTAAAATCAGAAAAGGATCATAGGATTATCTACTTAGAGTTGGAAGGTACCTGAGAAGCCATCTAGTTCGATCCCTTCACTTTACAGGTAAGGAAACCGAGGCTCATGGAGCTTAAATAACTTGCCTGAAGTCACACAGGCAGAGCTGGAATTCAAACCTAGATCATTTTGCTTTGGTTGAATTTCTAGCAACAAAGTTACTTAAAGAGTGTCCCTTCCCCACCCCCACCCCCCATTTCTATTCTGGCTGAGCAGCTCACACAGACACCAGCTTATAAAATGAGCCTTCTGGCTACCTGAAGGTCCCTGTGGATCACCGATACTCCAGGGACCACTGCCTTAGAGCAGCTTAACAAACAGCATTCATTCTTGGAAATCCCAGTTTCTCTCCTCAATGAGAACAAAATTCGTCTCCTTAAAAGACAACAGAGGGGGAAAGAGTCCCAGTGTCACTGGTCCTCTTGGAGAATGAAGGACAAGCAACAAAGAACAACATCAAAAGGGTAGACTGATGAGCAACCAAGGCTGTAGGGAACCAATTAATGGAAACAGGCTAGAAAAGAATCCATGGGAAATGATTTCTCTCCCCCTCCCCCACTCAGCACTTCTCATCAGAAAGTGTTATAGAGGAAAAAAGAATTGCATGGACAATTTGGAGAGATGAGTTCAAATACCACTTCTGCCACTTGCTAATGATGTGACCAAAGGCAAGTCTTTTAATTTCCCTGAACCTCATTTATAAAAGAGAGAGAAAGAGAGAGAGAGAGAGAGTTGGATAAGATGATCTGAGGACAACACAATTTAGAGCTGGAGAGGTGCTTGGTGATCACCTAGTTCTATAAAGTAATTTCTATCTCTAGAATTCTGAAGTGTGGAAAGTGAAGTCGAGAAATTTAGCTATTTTTCATGTATTGGAAAAGTCACAGAAGGCCATCGATGTAAATAAGGATCATAGATTTAGAGCTGGAAGGCCTTAAAGACTCCCTAGTACAAAGTCCTCATTTTAAAGTTTAGGAAACTGAGGCCCTGAATGGTTAATAGATTTGCTTATGATCTCACAAGTAGTGAGTGGCAGAGGTACTAAGTCCTCCGAATATAGAGCCAGATCTTTTTCCATTGTACCACGATGACAAGAAAGCCCCACAATTCTGGATGGGTCTTTCAGAAAGGCAAACCTTGATGATAGGAACCTTCTCAATGACTGATGTGTACAGGATTGGGTTTAGGGTTAGAAGTGAAAAGACCTGGTCTTTAGGCTTTGACTTGCCACTAATTAGTTATGTAATGTTGGCAAGTCCTTTACTCCCTCTGAGCCTTAGTTTCCCTGACTGTTAAAGGAGAATAGGATATTCTATCTCCTCCTTGCCCCCTCACAGATGTCCTGGCTTCCTCCAAAGCACCAGCTCAGGTGTCCGTCTTAGGGGAAGTCCTTTCATACTCCCCTCAAATGTTTCTGCTCTCTCTCTCTGTCTCTCTCTCTCTCTCCTGAAATTTCTTTGTATATATCTTGTAGTTATTTATGCATGTACATGTTGTACACCTTCCCCTCTCCTCCGTGTAGAATGAAAGCTACTTGAGGGCAGAAACTGTTTTGTCTTTGTTTTTTGCATTTTCATGATCTAGCACAGTGCCTGAGACGTCATAGGTGCTTAATAAATGCTTATTGAATTGAATTGAGAATAATACTCACCCTTGTGACCTTACAGGGTTGGTAAGGAAGAAGCATTGGAAAGATATGTGCAGTACCTTACCAATATAAAAGA